ATGACTTGTTCGAATTAATTTGAGTAATTAGTTCCAAAGAGTGGAATTAGTTTTTGACTGATCCTTCAAAAACAAAACCATCCTTTTTTCGATATTTATTTCGGTATTATAGTTGAGTTTATTTCTTCTTTGCATTCGCATTCAACTTAAAAAAAAAATGTATTTCAAAAATTAATATTATAATAGTTAATTTGATAATTATGTATATGTATAGATTTTTTGTTATTTTAACATATTTATTATTTATGTTAAATGTAATCATGTGTAACACAATATATGAAATTAGTTCAGTGCTTTGCTTTGCTTTTAAAATTGTGTATTATAATATTATATACTATAGCAAATACTATTTTAAGAAATAATGATAACCTAAAATAAAAATGATAAGATTAAACACACAAATGAGATGCTTATAAAGAGAAATTAAAACATTTTTTAGTTTAAATTAAATGACATAAATATTGGATTTATTATTAGTAGACATACAAAGAAATTTATAGTGAATCAAATGAAATATGGTCAGTACATTTAGTTTAAAAATATATAAATATATGATTTAAAATATTAGTAGACAGTAGTTACTGTACGTAATGACAAAATGAAACTGTTTTTCATATTAAAATATGTGATATAAATAAATAATAATAAAGTAAACAATGCATTAATTACTCAACCTTAGATGCACAAATAATCTAGGAAGATAAATACAGATGATTATGAGTTATGACAATAGTTATGGAGATTTAAATGTCAAACCAGTGACAGATTATCTGTCTTTTTCAAAACCTTCAAGAATAATTATAATATTAAATCAGACGTGTTTATTTAAATTTATGTAATGAAGCTGTATGAAAATTACTACTTTTTTTGGATTAACGGGGATAAAATTAAAAGTGTGAAAAAGTCTATCTCAAATAGTCCAGTTCAGTAATTATCTCCAAATTCAAATTAGGTTTAAAATTTGTTCCACTAAAAAAGGGGTCACCATCTGATTTCGATGGAGGTCCATTTTGAAACTTACCAACATTTTTTTTTTATTTTGACTGATTCATTTATTCTAATGATATTATAACTACAAAAAATAATTCCAAACAAAAAAAACAAGAAAACATTTTGTAATATATTATATTGCTATACTTAAATAAAAACACAGAATAACTAATAGCGACGGTCCGTATGGAGTGTGGGGTGACCCAGTGTACATACTACATATACATATTTACCCACCCTCATGCACACACACGACAAATGCAAAACATAAATAATGTTCAACACCCCTCCGACCAGACGCTCAGTAAAAACAAAATCAACAATTACCAACAGCGCCAGACGACACCGCATTGTACTTCAAAGACCCCGTCGACAATTTTCCGGATCAAGATGTTGGAACATAATAACACACAATTAATTACCAGCGGCACCTTTGTCATACCGCTGAAGACAAAATCATAAACACATCAATAAGTGAAAGAAGAAGGGATTACAACAAAATCATATTATATAATGACCCCACGGGATCGACTCGCCTCCAGTTCTTTCCACAATGACGACCCGATGCACAATGTCCACGCCAGTATGCACTTCGACAATATTTTTGCCATTCAAAGCGGGTGCGATTATATGTGTATGTGCATTGAGTTATTCCAGCATTCGGTATGACCATCCAATTATTAATTATCCCGTATTACTCGACAAATTCACGTTGTTTTTTTTAAATTTATTTATTTATTTACCCCTTAAAATACGAGACTTTGTGACTATCGTCGTATAATACAGTAGTTATAATTTTAGACACGTATTAATATTCTTTAATTATTTTTAAATCTTAATCATACTCATTTATTTAGAAGTTAGAACATAAGCGTAATCTTAAGTGCTCATCTAACTTAAATTACATTCGGCTAACCAGTCGACTATGTACGATTTCTGCGGATGTAGGAATTTTTAAGAGCATAACTTACATCATAATCATTAATCACATTTATTTATTTAGAATATAAGCATAATTTTAGATAATATGTATTACTTTAATTTACACATTCTTAGATCTTAATCATATTTATTTATTTAGAACATAAGCGTAATTTTAAGTGCTCATTTAACTTAAATTACATTCGGTTAGCCAGTCGACTATGTACGATTGCTGCGGATGTAGGAATTTCTAAGAGCATATAGTTACTTCCCAAATCATAGATAATAAATTCAATAAATTCATATAATATTAGTGTTCGAATCACATCAATATTATACATAGAACTACCCAAAAAATATCTCTTAATATACTGAGTATTAAATATACAAATCAAGACACGTAATATACATATACATATATATATACCTCAGTGACTTCGAGCATCGAACTCAACCCCATATCCACGAATACGACTACATACTCAGGTAAATTAATTATAATATTTCGTAATACGTTTATGTATATACATTATTATAAGATATGAGATATAATAGGGTAGTAGATTAATCATACGTATGGGTATAACCTTTAACCTAAAGATATAAAATAATAATAATTTTGTAGTTAAAAATTTATAAAACGTTCAACTTTTATAGTTAAGGATTGAAAATTTAAAACAAGATTCCACGTAAATAGGTTATATATAAATTACTTTATTCACCTTAATATCATCTAATATACTTACTTCGTAATATCATAGGCTGACTGATCATCAGCAGATATTTTTTTTGAGAACTCTGATGCATCTAAATCAAAATTTGAAATAGTAATTTTTGAGTTATAGGTATAACTTTGTGTGCTAAGGATAATATGTATATGGAAATTAGTTAAGTAGATTTGGGGGCTTAGATGATTTGAATATGTTAGTAGTTAGTTGTTAGTACTAATTAGTAATTACCATTGACCTATCACGATAAATAATTTGTAAAAATTATTAAGTAGGTATACTGATAACAATGAATAGGTACCTACTTATAGTTTTTTATTGTAAACTATATTTTAAGTATTATTATCCTTAGTATACACAATTTTCTAATTCAGCAACTACTTATTAGAACTTTGATTTAGGTACATCTACATTTATCTGCTAAATAATTTGTAGTAAAAAAGGAAATTCTCATTTGAAAAATAGAAGTTTGTATGGATACAGGACACTCTTTAATAGTAGTGCAAAAAATATCAGGAATTTGAATAAATGTATTTTTAAAGGAAAAAATTTGGTGAGCATTTCCTCACCAATATGTCAAGTAAATTTTGTATTTCATTATAGGGCCCCTTAAAAAACTGATCCATGGGCCTTTGGTGTGCCAGGCCGACACTGTGTGTGAGTGATACAGAACCAGCGTTATAACATTCAAAATTCAAATATTGAATTCATTAATGACTTTAAAATTTGTCAGAAACAACCTGTTCAAAACATAAATATTTAAATCGCATACAATTTGACATACTAGTACAATAACACCGCCAAGCCATAACATCCGGAATGTACTTATATTGCCTATACAAAACGCCCAATAAACCAGATAAAGGGTCGTGGTCGGTTATTTGTTTATTATTTTATTTGTGGGAATTTTTTCCTGTCAATTCATTTTTTTTATTGATCTGTTATTTACATTAGCAAGGTTTTTGTATAGAACCGATGGAATCAATTAAATACCTGTATAATATTACGAATTGTGTAATTTTCATAATATTTATAAAAATATAATAGTCCACTACTAATGATTTATTTTGATGAACTCTAATAAATTATAAATATAAAATATTTGACTTACATAAATAGGACTATAACGTACACGAATATTAAGAAACACCAAACAAAATAATATGTTCTACGTTTTTTTCAAACCGAGTTCGTTTAAAATCAAAAATATTATTAATTAAATAGTAAATTAGTTACTATGATGATTGATGGTGAACACATCTGCGAACACATAGGTAGCATACTGGTAATACTAGGAATTTTAAATGGTGACCTCACGAATGCACCAACTAGATTCACTTTCCCATCGCAAGATATTTTCGAAGAATATTGAAGCAGTTTTACTGCCCTAAACGGTGATGACAGACACAAAAATAAAAAATAAATAAAAATCACACATCATTGTAAAATCAATACATTCATCGCTCCGCTCAGAAACTAAAATTGATTATCTACTGACAAATTTCTGTTATCAAATACGTTTTCCAATCAAAATCCTATCCTGCAAGTGTGCAACCTTGTGGTTCTCCTTATACATTTTTATTACGTACAAAATATAATAGCTTTAAAACACAATATTTTTTGAACTAGTGAGTAGTGGTAATATTACGTAATGAGACAATATTAAAATAGCCTTAATATAGTTTACTTAAGTTAATAAAATGAAAAATACGAAGTGTAGATATCGAAATTCCAAAGGGGATATCATTTTTAATTATCACCAAGTTAATACATTTTAGTATGGTATACATAAACCTAGTGATTACTGATTGTGCAACTTTAAATTATTTTTAAATAATAACTGTTTTGTTATAAATATGATATGTATATTATAATACTATATCATTCCTTGTTATTGCACTATCTATAGTATTTCTAGTTTCTACCTTAAGTATTTTTGAGAGAGTAACATATACCCATCTAAATATATTAATGTCTTAAAAAATGTAATATCCATTTAAATATACAATATTTTTTTTTATATTTAAGTCATAAATAATAAATTACAAAACTGACAATTTATTGTATTGAACTTTATATCAAATAAATATGTAATGACACTAATGATTAGTGCAGTTATTCGTAATATTACTTATAAGTGATAAGTCATTTTAATACTAATGAAATGTATAACGTCAGCAAACAAATTACATATTTACACCTAATATAAATATGTACATTACATTGATACTTCACGCTGGGATTTATTAATTACTCTTAAAGCCAAAGAAAAATATATTATGCACTAAAAAAAATAATTATTAACAGTATCTATATTTAACACACAAAATATTTTTTCTGGCTTTTTTCAAACAAACGACTTCAAGCATTGTTGTCAATGAACTGTACATCTGACATGAGGTAAATTGTTTCAGGCAGAGGTTTTGGTTGAGGGGACAACAGAGTTAACATTTGTTGTGAGGTGTCAACATTTGTTCTAGAGAAATAAAAAAAAAATGTATTAAAATAGTTGTGCATCAAAATGTTTTTATATTAAATTGAATGATACTCAACAACACTTACACACAGACAAAACCAGCAACACTATTCCTCACAACGTCTTCTTCTACCGTTGTACTGAAACTCAGAGCTAACACGTGATGCATCATATTTAGCCCTGTAAAAATTGTCAAAATATTTTTAAAAATAATCTCAATGGAAAAGTATTTTTATTAAATAATAGTATATGCAACGCTCTAAATGTTTTTTATATTTACCTGGTGTAACACCTTCAAGTTTTGGCTTAAAATCAGTTTTTTGTGTATCTAATGACATCAATGCATTCGGAATGGGTGGAGCTAAAATTCTATATACTTTTATGTCGGAAAACCTTACTAAGCAGGTGTGTGGATGAAGTACATTCCTAGGACTACCATAAAAGAATTCTCGAATACGTGCTTCTCTACCTTCCAATTTAAACTTATTACTCCTTTGAACTACCTAATTATTAAACAAATCAAATTTATAATAATACATCATAATTTAATTTTACTATATAAAAAAATGTTTTTTTTTTAACTGTGTACATATTAATTATTATATAATACACCTAATTTTTTAATACATAGCCAATAGAAGTTAAATCAAATTAAACCATGGTTTAACACTGCATTTTATTATTTTCAGACAATTTTGAAGTCTACAAGACAAATAGTATATTTAGGTCTGCCTAATAAAGCTTAACGCATATAAAGACGATCCACAACTGCCAACAAACGTGCATTTTTATCTCAAAAATATTGGGGGGGGGGGGTACCATAAAAATTAAATTTTCTGAATTTTCCAATGAGGATTGACTATTGACCATAGTATTTTATGGATGAAATGACTAAGTGGGTCACAAATTCAAATCTTTCATAGTAAACAGATATTTTAGAAATGTAATGTAAAATATTTAAAAAAAAGAAAACCCTATATATTATATGTGTTGTAGGGAATTGGTTTGCTGACCTAGGGTTAACACATTAAGTTTTATTAGGCAGAGCTATTAATATTTTTTTTTTTTGAAGCCTATTATAAAGGTAGCCACATTAATCGATAAGTTCCTAAAGAGAATAATAAGAATAATCTTATTGGTGATACTTACTCCTCTACGTTTTGGTAAAAGAACAACTTTGATAAATCCTGGCATATCTCTCACTAGTTCAATATATAATCGTTCTTCATCAAGTACAAGAATAACATCAACTTCAAAAGCGAGTGCAATGTGAGTCAAATGCTGGTAACCTTTACCTTTTATCCAACCGAACGTGTTAATTATTAATCCAGAATAGTTAACTGTAAAAATAAAATTAATACAAAATTAACCATAGCAATTAAAACATAATACAATATAACAAATTAGCATATATATATTCTAACACTAATTACCATAAAAGTATACAATGTAGGAAAAAATCATTTATAATTAAAAAAAATTGTTGGACTAAAATTAGGTAGTAATTGCTATTTAATATTTTAATCTATAATAAACAAATAATTAATAATTTTTAAACTGTAAGACAACAATAATAATTACAAATACTAGAGTATTTGATTTTTGCTAACATGGAACAATATAATCAAATAATCAATTATTATTTAGTTATGTAATATACCAAATGAGTCAGCTTTATAATTTTAGTTGTCTGTGTTTATATAGTCACAGTAATGAGTTGTTAATTGTATTTAAATAAAATATCCAACATCATTGAAATAGTGAATATACATTAAACTTTACAGGAAATCAATAAACAGTAAACCAGAGTAATTTATTTTTAAATTTATAAACCATAACAATTGTGAATAAGTCAAACTTTATGTGTTCTTCATAATACTTATTAATTATTATTATTATCCTTTTAAAACAGTAAAACAGTAAGTTTTACTCATTAAATATTTACAAAATATTGGAAGTAATACTGAACAAATTATTATGATTAAACTAAAACTCAATTAATTTCATACTGACCTACTGTTTTTTAAAATATTTTATCCAATTATATCGATGGCTACACAACAAATGGGGCTAAATGTTTTTAAAGGTATTCAAGAAGAGTCAAATCATTTCTTTTTACACAAAAAGTCTCACATAAATCCTAAAATATGAAATTCAATATCACTTAAAATTATTATCAGAAAATAGTAAAATGTTCACCAATAGATAGAAATAATCTCCTACTACCCAGTAATATATGCTATGTCACTTAGCCTATTTTGTTGTCTAGCCACCTGTATAATAGTTGTAATGATATAAATTAAGTTCAAATAATATAAAATGGATAAAAATTACTTCTAGGATTTTCATCCATTTGTTGATGAATAACTTCTGCCATACGAGATATTAAAGTGTTGTACAAAGTTGAATTAATACCAATTTTTGTATGTCCAAATGATAGTGAGTGAAATGACTAGTGGAGCTGCTTGAGAGAAACTTGCATCTACTTCAGCTGGCCTTTCTACCATGACTGCTCCTACAAATTATTATTCTCGTTAGGACTATTGTCTTATGATTAATTTAAAATCTATACAAACCAATTGTTCCTGGAACTGATATTTGTCCCTGACCCGGGCTAAGGTCGACATAGATGGGTCTACGACCAAGATCATTCATTCTTGTACTATAGTTTAGTAGTATTCTACAAAGAGTAGATTTACCCACATCAGTCGGTCCGACCACCATTGTAATTGGACCTCTTATCTTTTCTTCTTCTGATTTTGTTCGCAGTTGTTCTAATGAAGCATGGCAATTTAAATAAGACATCTAAAAGATTAAACACGGTTAAAATATGTACACAATAACAAATAGATAATAATTCAGACATTCATAACTATAAAAATAATTAGTTATTAATAATTGTATTGAACTCTACCAAATTTATTTATTTTTCAGTTAATTTGTGTTCCTTCAGCTGATTAGTATTAAAATATATGAGCTATTTTTTACTCTCAATAGATATTAAGCAATAACTGAAGCTAAAATAAATTGATTTATCAGGTGTTATTACATACAAGTTTATAAATATTTTGCATTATTTTAGATGTTTAGTTAAGCGTTTAAAATACAAGAATTAATTCAAAAATTGTTTTTTTATTTTATTTTACAATTATGTTTTTATATTATCTAATCTGTGAACACTAAAAAACTTGAATGAGTTTTTTTAATATCGAAGAATTAAAAATTAAAAATACATATTTGAAAGATACATTGTATTTGTTTACTCTGTCCGATCTAGATGCAATATAGAAATGTACGTTCAGTACAACAAATCTTGTGTTAATAGCTTTAATATTAGAGTTAATTTAAGTTTAAAAAAATTATTTCTTTTGGGTATTGGCTTTTTAAATATTTTAACTTTTCTGAGTATACTAATTTATCAAAATTTAAATACCTTAAAAAATCAAACAAACAACCACAGATAATGTTCTAAACTTTATGTTTTGAAATAATGTTAATTTACTTTAATATTTAAGCTAACTTTACAAGATGGGTTCTACTAAATGCAAATTTGGTATGTTTACATAAGTCAGATGGAAAACAAATAGTCTGCAACATTCCCTTAAAATTGAATATTAAACAGAAATATATCCATTTTGATAAAAAGATTTACCAATAGATAAATTAAATTAATTGCAATTAAACTATTTAGTAAATTTGAAGAAAAATATACATTAATGAATGTGATTTTAATATTTTAAAAACAATTGATAGACTATGCATAAACATCACAATATAGTTAAAATTAGTAATAAATAGTAGAAATAAGTAATCTCCATTAAGTAAATTAATTTCAAAATTTAATTATTCTTACCATTGGGGTCTCTTTGGATATATAACTAATTCCTTTTTTCCCTAGTAATCTTAATGAACACCCTTGCCATGTAAACACCGCAATTTTTGCTCCAAAATAAAACTTATATGGTTTACTTTTTACTAATTCTGTCCCGAAAATTTCTGCCAGCCCAGTTTTCAACTAAAAAAAATAAAAAAATCACCATAAATATATTACATAATATTATTATATTTATAGGTTATTAGTCTATAGCCTTTAACAGAATATACCTAAGTGACTTTACATATTTTATTACACGTTAAGTAGGTATGTTTATGTTTACATAAGTCATTCAGGACCCTCACTCTTCATTTAAAAATAGAAATCACTTGATTCTAAACAGTATTTATTTTTTTTTTTTTCGTGAAATAAATACAACTGTAAATACATTTTAAACAATTATAATTGCATAAGTTCATATTTATTTTTTTCAAATGTACCTAACTAATTATTAAAAAAAATTATAAGTGTATTTATTAATTACCTATTCTTAATTAACAATACCGAGATTATTTGAAAACTATTTCAACTAGGTATTATTAATCCTTTAATTCTATTATTATTATAATAATATACCATACTACTATACTGACATAATAAAATGGAAGATATCATAATTGTAAATTAAAAATATATAGAGCTGTGTACTTGTTGTCGTCCAATTGTATTTACATTACCTACTACCTACCTTCACATTAAAATGTTGTATCAGATGTAACTGACTTGATGTACCTACCAATTTAATGAGGAACATATTTTATATGCAGGACTATTGGAGGTACTTACTTCTAACACAACTGTTTCATACTTGTTTTCAACTTCAAACCTTAGTTCATGGTCAGGTTTCAATCGGAATTCCTGATCTTCGATTTGAAATTCTACGCTCTCTGACATGATTGATATGTATGTTTATTCAATATTTCAAAGCACTGAAAACACACGGAGAAACGATTAAAACATAAACCTATAACACGAAGGTAAATGACTCGCTTTCGCCGATTAGTGCAATTCTTTTGAAAGAAATCAAGACACACATTGTTACACATAAACCGACGAAAAACGTCCAACTAAAGTTAATTAATCATACTAAAACTGACTTACAATATTGACGTCTGATCGTAAAACAAAATTAATTCAGTTGGGTTTTTAACAAGTGTATGCACACCACAGACGACATAAAACAAACAAAACAAAAAAAGGTTATTTATATCTTATTATTGCAATTTTAAATTTAAACAGAAGTTGGGATTATGGAGACAGCCGCGTTGCCGATGATTCGGACTTCGGTAAGATTTAATGCCCGCCACATCGGCCAGAAGCACCTCCGATAGTTAAACATTCTGGCTTATCACAGTGTACCACGAACTAAGATAGTAATAATCACGGACTAAGATTATTAAGATTATTAAGATTATTAAGATTATTTCATGCAAATGGTGATAGTTAATTAAATTTGTTTTGTAACTTCTTCATACTTTACAAATGTATATTAATTTTGCCATTCACACAAGTGTTATGCAGGAGATTTTTCTTGAAAATCAAAGATTATAAAAATAAAACTAACTTGTCAACCATCAAACAGACACTAAGTTTCATAAAAGAAATATAAATTGAACATTTATTGTAAATAACTAATGTATAATAATATGTAAAAACAAAAATTATTGTAATAACTAATCACTAATATTATGTAAACAATTATTATTAAAATATGTCAGCCAATGGCCACGCTGCCGTGGCTTTTTTATAATATTGAAAAAAATTAAAATAAGATTAGGTACGATTAATCATAAAAATAGAACATATGTGCCCATTAATGATGTAGCTGTGGAAAAAATATTTGAAATTACCAAATAAAAATGTAGGTATTGTCGTATTGACAATAAATTTAATTTTTTTTAAAGAATTACTATTTACTAATATAGAAAATTTAAATATAAAACTTAACAATTTACCAGCAAAACTGACTAATCGTATAACTATCCGTATAGCAACTACTACAACTACTACTATAAAATATAGCCAATCCAACTATTGTTATAGACAACCCAGTGCGCACGTTTATACGTATATCAATATCAGTATATCTATAATTATGTTAGGTAGCTACTACTTCAACAATTTCGCAAATACTACAACGTATTTCTGATAATTTAATGATAAACACATGTTAACATATTTCAATATTTAATTCACAATAAATTTTCAAATAATATTTGTCATGATACCAATGTATTTGGTAGGTTAGGAAGTTATATTATTAAAAATACCCACTAACATTATGTTCAAAGTACTAATTCACACAGATGTATTATTTACATAATAATACGAACTACCATTACATTATACATAAACATATTTACATTGTTATAGGTATTTTAAATGTCAATCAACCATTCTTATTAAATATTAAATTATATTATTAGATATCATCATAAAGTAGGTAAATAACATATATACAAAGTAGTAAGTATTATAACACAATTTCGCATCAATGTAATATGTACACTAAAATAATATACATATAATTATAATCATGATTTTGAAATTATAGTATTAATTAATATAAAAAAAATATAACACGCTAGGGACGATTCGACCTCTAAAAGAATTTCATCATGTCCGTTTCATCAAATTCTATTTAAGTGCATTAATAGTAGGTTTTTCATAATCAATCATTACAGTTTTTGGATATAAATTTGGTTTTAAATGATTATAAAGCATCAAATATTCAATAGGTACCATAACTATAAGTAATCTATTATAAGTGCTTAATATTTAAGTAAAATATTAATTATAAAAATTGTAACATATCAATCAACATACAATACAGTAGCATCTTATATAAATTACTTCTCGTGCTGTTTTTAAGTTAAAAATTATATTTTAATATAATATAAATAATTGAACAGAAATTGAACGGATCATAAAATAATAAGTAATCTAATAACATGTATAAATAATCAAATTTACCTACATTTCTATAGTCGTACATTCACAATTTCACATTTATTTGCTCTTGTGTTCGATATTTTTTTCAGAAATCATTTCTATAATATTTTGGGGTTTTTTTTCAGGTATACATTCATAACTTGGTAATGTCAATTAAGGCAGAGTAAAAAATTATTTATACATATTTACATATTATGGACATAATTACCACAAATATTAATAATAAACTATGCAAATCAAATTCTTCTAGTGTTCTGTATTTATATTGTTTGAATTACTATTTTCTTGTAAAGGTTTAGCAGGTTACCTTAGTTTAATTTAAAATCACTTACAGTAGCAGTCTTAAATATGTACATCACAAAAGCCACAGAATTTTCCAGAACCACAACAAATGATAGTTCACCGTACTATAATATTGTATAATGTATTAGACATATGTTTAAAATATAATGTTTATAAATTACCTTAGAAAACAATGATGTTAAGTTAGCTTTATTATATAGGTACACCGTTTTTCTTCCACTTTAATTTTAATATAAATGAACCGTTTT